ACCAAATTCGATCATAGTAATGTTTCATTTGATATTGATTCAATATTAAATATGAATGATATGAATGGTGAAATGAATTATAATTGCCTTTCAAGTGTGGAAGTGAAACGCAATGAGATTGCATACATTATTTTCACTAGTGGTTCAACTGGAACTCCGAAAGCGGTTCGTTGACACCGAATTTCTAGATAATTGATTGATTTTCATGCTCTTTCATAGGTTCAAGTTCGGCAAAAGAACTTTATTGATTGTATCAATTCTTTAGTTTATATTAACTCGTTTAATAAAGATGATATAGTTGTACAAATGACACGATGTTCATTTGATATTCATGTTCAAGAAATACTTGGTACATTATTAGGCGGAGGCGCATTAATTATGCTTCATCCAGGTGGAACGATTGATTTCGATTATTTATTCAAAGTGTTAGAAAGCAAGCAGATTACATATCTACATACTGCACCAAGTTTATTGCTTAGTTTTTTTTCTTCAGTGGAGCAAAATAACAATTGGCATGTTCTGAAACATCTTCGATCACTTTGCAGCAGTGGTGAGTGATTTTCGAGCAAATCTCGTTTGCTTATCTACCGTATGTTTATTATTACAGGTGAACCTTTTTCCGTTTCATTAATTGGTTTGATTGTGAAAATCGGTGTAGCAAACTGTATTGTATGGAACTTGTACGGGCCAGCTGAAGCAACCATAGATTGTACTGTTCATCGTGTGGACGTCAGAAATGACACACAGAGCATTTCAACTGGTAGACCACTTTCTAATTATCGATGCATGACTATCGATCAATATCTACAATCATCTGCTATCGGTCTAGAAGGAGAACTACTTATAGGAGGAGCAGGTGTCTTCGCTGGTTACCTTGGACGTGATGATTTAACGGCAAAAGCTCTTGTTGAAATAAATGGCCAACTATTTTATCGAACAGGTGATCTTGTTACAATGGATAACAATGGACGTCTCCTTTATCAAGGAAGAAAAGATCATCAAATTAAACTTCATGGACAACGAATTGAACTTGGTGAAATCGAACGATGTTTACTCAACATCACATTCATCTCTGCTTGCGTTGTCATGAAATGGAATGATGATTATTTAGTTGCCTATGTCCAATCTTCTCCTCATATGAAGGAAGAACAACTACGTGAACATTGTCAATCTTATCTTCCACCACATATGATACCATCAATATTTATTATACTTGAGAAATTACCTTTGAATGCTAATGGAAAAGTAGACCGAAAACAGCTTCCTTCACCCGACTTTTCATTAACGACTTTGTTATTACCCGATAAATCTGATATTGTTCTTAATCAGTTCGAAGAACGTATACATACTATTTGGTGTCAAGTTCTTCATTGTAATGAAAACCATATTCCTAAAACTACCAATTTTTTCAGTGTTGGTGGCCATTCACTTTTATTTATTGAACTTTATCATCATTATCAATCGGTATTTAGCTTTGATGCTCATACACTTTCGATCGCCCCATTTCTTCAACAACCAACTATATCTCAACATTCGCAACTACTTCAAACAGTTATAATGAATAATATCAAGGTAACTCAATGGCACACGTTACACATAAATAATGGTAAAAGTGTTTAGGAGGAAATTATTAAAATAATTTCTTTCATTTAATTCACAGGTATTGCCTCTTTTGCTCAAGAACGTATATTTCTTGATGAACAAGTTCGTTTTTCAAGTGATACTGCTATCTATAATGAACTGTCAACTTTACAAGTTGTTCAAGGATCATTACCATCAAATCGTTTATTACAAGCATTTCGATTCGTTTTGAATAAACATAAAATATTACGGACATCTCTTATCTTTAATAATGATAATAGTAGTTTGAAACAGTGCATTACAGATATACATAAAACATTCACAATAACTATGAATCAAACCTTTCAAAATGATAACGAACTTCAAGACATTATTTATCAAACAACTATTAATCCTACACTCTTCGATTTATCAACTGGTCATGTTTTTCATGCTGAAATTGTGAGACATCAAACATCACTAAATGAAAATGAAAATAATAGCAATACGTTCATAATGAGTTCGGATATTCTCCTCATTGCTTTTCATCATGCAGCATTTGATCGAGCAAGTCATTCAATTTTTTTTAATGATCTATGTTGCGCTTATAATACTAATGCAATATCAGAAGAAGATGATAATGAATCATTGCAATATATTGATTATAGTATACATGAACATCTAATTGATATAACAACATCTCGTGAGTTTTGGTATTTACAATTAGAAGAATACAATCTCGACTCTCGATTGTTATTACCAGTTGATCGACATCGTTCGTCTAATGATCATCGATCGAGTTCTGCTTCTGTCATTCAAGTTTCGTTTGACAACGAGATTGCACAATCATTTCTTGATTATGCTTCTATACATCATGTGACACCATTTCAGTTAGGTCTGAGTGTTTTTTATGCTTTTCTTTTCAAGTTAACTCATGGTGAAAATGATTTATGTATTTCTTGTCTTAATGCTAATCGATACAGAACTGAACTGCAGAATATAATGGGAATGTTTGTTTCGACACTACCATATCGTGTTCAACTTGATCCTCTTTGGTCATTTGATGAAGTAGTTAAATATGTACGAGAGAAATGTTTATCAATTCTTGAACATTCACATTATCCACTTCAGCATATTCTTGCTAATTTACATATTAATCAATCAAATATTTCATTTCTCGAAACAATGTATGACTTTATTACTATATCGTTACACAGCGATGAATTATCTTTGGATGGAGCAAGTTTGAAACAAATGTCATTTGAACGATCGTCTGAAGTGGCTAAGTTTGATTTTATGTTAACATTTATCTTTGATCCACTGTTGGAAAATCATAGATTATCATTTCTTTTAACTTGTTCACATGATCTGTTTGATGAGATTACAGTTAGAAATATAGGTCGAAGATTAGAATATTGTTTTCAACAACTTTTTTCATCGAATCAAACTATCAATCGAATTGATACATGTTTTACATCTATATCGAAATTTGATCTTATTCTACCAAAAGAAGCTCAAGAAATGGAAGATGTCATCTTTTGTCGACAATCACATATTATAAACGAAGGTATGTTTATTTAGAGAGAGTTTCCTTAATGAACACTTATATTGACAGTCTATACATTGTACAGAAATATCATTGAGGATATGTTCCCATATCATTGAGTTCATCCAAGAATTAGCGCTCAACCATTGAGTGGGTGTATGACTATGAATGGATTTGGATGTGGATTCTTTATTCATATACATAACCACACTCACCCACAAGTTTTTTCTCTTATATGACAGCATAAATTCATTATACCGGATGATTTTTCTTATAGACAGCTATGTAATAGTGTGAAATGTCCTACGATTTGTGTTCTTTTCACTTTGAAGACTAACATGTTTGATTCAAGTGTTATTTTGCCGCTTAAAATGAGTATTTATGTCATCGATAAAACTTTTGTCTAAGTCTTTTCCATGGATATCTCTTTCTTCCACATAGAATAATACAACATATTAGTTTATAAAAGTTGTCTATTATTGTCAAATATCCTTCAATTTCTAAGAAGGTTTTTCGAAAAGTTACTATGTTATTGGAAAAAATTCCCAGGTTCAACTGTTAGAAACACTAAAGAATTTAAAAGAAAATGTAACTGACGACGTATGTAGAACATTATGACGACCTATTTCATTTGCTTGTTTATTTTAAGTTTCTTGTGAATGATCGATATAGTAACACACTTGCCTCTCTTAAAATACAATATTAGTTATACTATTTAAAAGCTCCATTCGTAGAGTCATTCGATAATGATTAAAACACATACAAAATAGATATCACAAGCAATATCCTTAATCATATTTTATTATTCTCTCTTTCATGTAGCACCAGCATCTTTTGCTCAATGTCGAATATGGTCAGAAAATCAAAGAGATGCCGATACTGATCAATCATGTTTAACGGCCTATAATATACCGTTTTTCTATCATCTTTATACAGGAGACATTTTATCCGTGAAACAACTTCGTCATGCTCTCGAACTCGTTGTTAACAAACATGAATCACTTCATACATCACTCATCTATGATCCTAACAAAAACCTACTCATGCAACGAGTTCTCAGTCAACAAGGTATTGACAATGGTATGTTCATAATTACTGAGAGCACTCATGAAACAGATCAACAACTCAATGACATCATGTATGAAAAAGAATACAATCCTCAACTGTTCGATGTTGCTCAAGGTCTTGTCTTTCGATGTCATATTATTTACTATAAACAAATCTCTTCAAACAACATTCTTTCCAATAAAGATATAATTATCTTCAATTTCCATCATGCTTTCTTTGATTATCCATCCATAAATATATTCCTTCATGATCTTGATCAAGCTTACAAAACAGGTCAACTCACAACTAATAATGATACTACTCTACGTTATATCGATTGTAAGTATATTCAATTTCTTGTTCTATTTAAACTGATGCCTCCTTCTTTTTCAGATGCTGTTATCGAACAACAAATGTCAATGACTGGTGCAACTATGTTTTGGCTTGATACACTTCATGATTGTCATCTCGATCAATCTTTGTCATTACCATATGATCGATATCGTCTTTCAAATGAACATCGAACTGGTCGTGGAACATCTATTTCTTTTGATTTTGGTCAAAATCTTTCCCATGATTTTCTTAACTATGCATCATCAAACAATATCAAACATGAACATCTAGCACTTGCTACCTACTTTATCTTCTTATTTAAATTAACGAATGGTGAAAAAGATTTATGTATTGCAATGAATATCGATAATCGTTATACAGATGAACTCAAATCAATCATTGGTTTGTTCGAGAAAATCATTCCATTACGATGTCAGTTAGATCCTTATTGGTCTTTTCAATATCTACTTGATTATGTTGGAAAGATAACAACCAATAATATGAAATATTCCTATTTTCCACTTCAACGTATTCTTAATCAACATTCAAATGTTTCAAAACCTGCATTTCTTGATATATCTTTTCAATTTCTATCATTGATGACAGCAATTGACAATAAGTTAATAATGATTGGTGATAGTCTACTTTCTTCGATACCTTCTGTAATGAACATTAATGATAATAAGATTATAAATAAGTATGATTTCTCACTTCTAATTCAACATAATCTCAATATCAATCAACTATCATGCACAATCAATGCATCACTTGACTTATTCAATGTAGAAACAATTGATAAGATATCTCAACGATTTCATTCAATCTTGAAACAATTGTTTATATATGTTGATGATGAAATGAATAAATCAATCTATGAAATATCATCAACATTACCAGATGAACGATTACTAATGCAATCAATGAACAATACACAAGTATCATTTTCATCTTCTGTCACTTGTATTCATCATGCATTTGTATGTCAAGTGATGAAACATCCACAAAAACTAGCAGTTGAATTGGATGAACAATCTCTGACATATGCTGAACTTCTATATTATGTTCAAGTGTTATCTCTACATCTTATAAATAAACGTGTTGTTGTTTTAGGCGAAATTATATGTCAATGTGTCGAGAGAAGTCTGTCGATGGTGAGTTATTGTTTGACATTGAAGTTTAGTTTGACTGAAGTTTTCATATTATATAGGTGATTGGCATAATGGCAATTAAAATGAGTGGTGCCGTATATTGTCCATTATCACCTCGTGATCCACAACATCGTTTACATGCTCTCATACAACAAACAGAAAGTCGTCTCGTTCTTGTTCATTGCTTGACAAAATCCAAATTGAATAATGATATTTTTCTGATTGATATTGAATCAATACTGTTTGATAATAATGTAAAGAATAATGTTAATGTTAATCAATTGTCTAGTATTATAGTCACACCTGATGATATTGCTTACATCATTTTCACAAGTGGTTCTACTGGAACACCTAAAGCGGTTTGTTGAAGTTTGATTTTTGGTATTCGACCGTTTATTGTGCTATCTTATAGGTTCAGTTGCGACATAAGAATTTTACTGAATTTATGTGTTCGTTGATTTATAGTGATGTAGTGAATGAAAAGGATATAATCCTTCAAGTCGCACGTTGTTCTTTTGATGTTCATGTTCAAGATATAATGGGCACTTTTATGATTGGAAGTAGTCTAATAATGCTACATCCAAGAGGAATTATGGACTTTGACTATCTTGCTAGTGTTTTCAAAGAAAAGAATATTACTTGTATTACTACTGTTCCAACTATAATTCATAATTTCTTCACTTATCTCCAACAACAAAATCAGCATAATGTTGCACAATATGTGCGATCAGTTTGTAGTGGTGGTACGTAATGTTTACATGAAATATATTATTTTTGATATTACATGATTTCATTTCTAGGTGAACCTTGTTCTATGAAGCTAATAAATCTAATAGTAAATACTGTGACGCGTACATGTCAAATATGGAACGTGTATGGTCCTGCTGAAACAACAGTTGATTGCACGTTGCATCTTTTCAATAACACAGTGACAACTCAAAACATTCCAATAGGCAGACCACTTTCAAATTATCAAAATCTAGTTTTAGATCAATTCTCACAAAGTGTATGTATCAACCAAGAAGGAGAATTGTTTGTCGGTGGTATGGGTGTCTTTGGTGGTTATCGTAGCCGGAATGATTTGGTAGCAAAAGCTGTTCTTGAAATTGATGGGCAGTTATTTTATCGAACAGGTGATCTTGTTCGAATGGATAATAATGGCCTTCTTCATTATCAAGGAAGAAAAGATCATCAAATCAAATTACGTGGACAAAGAATTGAACTTGGTGAAATCGAACGATGTTTACTTAACATTACATCTATGTCTGCTTGTGTTGTCATAAAATGGAATGACGATTATTTAGTCGCATATGTTCAGAGTTCTGTTGTTAATGAACACGAGTTGCGTGAACAATGTCAATCACATTTACCACCACATATGATTCCATCAATATTCATTATACTTGGTAAATTCCCATTGAATCCAAATGGAAAAATAGATCGCAAATCTCTCCCTGTACCTGACTTTTCATCGTCACCTATTGATAATGCTGATAATGTACCACATACTATTCTAGAACAGCAATTACGAGATATTTTTAGTCAAGCGTTTCATATTCAATCGCCTCATATTGAGGTTCCTTTTAGCCAACTTGGTGGGACATCTCTAGATGCTATACGTGCACTTACATTAATACGGCAACAGGTGTATACTAATATTGACATTGGTCTTTTATTTGCTAATCCATCTATTCGACAATTGGCTATAGCATTAGAACCTTTGCTGATTTCGAATCAATCTCAAGAGACGGTTTTCATCGTTAATCAATCTCATGAAACATATGTTCATCTTACACCTTCATTTATGATAGAATCTATAGGTATCATACTTCTTTTCTGTCAATGGTTATGGCCAATCATAATAATTCATCAATGGTGTCCATTCCTTTTTCCATTCCTACCAGCATTTCATCTTATATTCTATGTCATTTGCTCACAACTACTATCACCGCGAAACATCAAAGATGACAATCTTTTCTCTTGGAGTTATTATCGATGGTGGTTTTTAGATCGACTATGGAATAATAATACATTTTGGTTGCAGCATATACTTGGCACATCACTCTACAATTATTATCTTCGTCTTTGTGGTGCACGAATTAGTCTCAACGCACATATTTATACCACAACTATCGATGCTCCATGGTTGTTAGAAATTGGTGATGGAAGTTGGATTGCTAATGAAACCTGTCTGAACTGTTTATATTTTAATGATAATAACACATTCAAACTGAATCCAATAAAGATTGGATCTAATTGTTCAGTCGGCACACGATCGATTTTATACGATGGAGTTGTTATGAAAAACAATATTATTGTTCAACCCATGTCATCGGTTACTGGTTCCATCGCATCTAAAACAGTAATCGATGGTGAAGAACATAAGCCTGATTCGTTGGATGACTCTACTATACACAGTAATAGATCATTATCGATATGGCATAAAATTTATCAAATGGTTGTACTCATCTTGCTAATCTGCATTCACTATACAATTTTAATTTTTGTCTACAAAATTTATTCAATTAAACACATACCATTACCTATCAGTATTGCTTTTTGTTGGACTTTATGGTCGATAATTGGCTGTTTTGTTTCTGTCATTCTGCTTAAATATGTAGTCGGTTCCTGTGCGGCGGGTGACACGTATTCCATAGCTTCTTGGTCGTATTTACATAAGTTATGGATTCGCCAATTAATTGTATCTAGTTTCCGTCATGCATGGTTGCTACCATCTGCGTACGATGATATTTATCCTTTTGTTCTTCGTTGGTTAGGTGCTCACATTGAAGATAATGTCAAACTCTATGATATCGGTATTTTTCTGTCTTATCCAACAAATCTGTTGAAACTTGAAACGGGGGTCACTGTTTTTGGCTACGTTTTATTAGTTCCGACTGAGATGACACTATCAGGCGACCATCGTGTTGATCGTATAACGCTTGGAGCCCATGCGAATCTTGCAAATAGATGTTCAATTTTGCCCGGTAGTCATCTTGCTTCTGAGACAATGGTTGGCAATTTAACACGCATTTCTGGAGAAATAAATAGCAAACAAGGAGATATCTTTATTGGTGTTCCAGCTCGTGTTATGCCCTTTAAAATGCCTCTTAGATCGAATATAACCGATCAAATTGAAAATACCTCACTTTGGCATACATGTTTCTGGCATTTTATTAGTAAATGCCTTTTGATAAACATTTATTCATTAGGTGGTTTCATTGGTGGACCCGTAATTCATATAACACTCATTTTCAGTCTCTATCAATGGTACTCATCTATACGTCTTGAACTATTGCAGAACATATCAGGAAGATTGACGCACGATTGCCAACAATTTATTTGTCCATTTCTCAGCAATACACAATGGTTGATCCAGTTATTTCGAGCATTCGGGGCTCATATTGGTAAAGGAGTAGTCTTACCTGATTTTTCCTGTCTTACTTTTTATCATTTGATAACCATTGGAGATAACGTCCGACTTAATATGCATGCTAATATTCAAGTAATACTTGAATTTTGTTGTTATTTCTCTTTATAAATCTTTTCTTCTTCACAATTTTTTCAGTGCCATAGTTTCGAGCAACGTATCTTAAAACTAGCTCCCGTGACAATCGGAAATTCATGTGTGCTTATGAGTGGTTCATATGTAATGGCAGGCTGCAAGTTGATGGGCAATAATAAACTTTATCCATTTACACTGATAATGAAAAATGATCAACTATCACCGAATACTCATTGGAAAGGGCTTCCTGCACGTAAGTCACTCACACAGATGATCTGCTCTTGTATAAGACTTTCAAGATATTGTCTAATCGTTATTAATATTCATTTTTTTATGTTCTATCATCTCTTTTTAGTGAGATATACTATTCTTAAAAATGAGCATACTATAGTTCCGATATAAGACGCTAAATTGAGTATAGCATTTTCTAGATCTTCTGCTGGCAAGCCATGATAAAAATCATTTGATTAGTGTTCTTTTTCACTTGCACTAGATTATTTTCTAGACTATTCACCCGACCATAACATGATATACTATACATCGAATCTACTTTTTATCGTATTCTTTTATTAATATGAAATTCAATTAAATCTCTACGTCAGTTTCAACTTATAATTATCTATCAACGTCTCGTACTAGTATTAGATCAGTTTACAATTATCATTTCATGTTAATAAATAATAGTTTGTGAGACAAAACTAATTGACAATCAATATTTTTCTTAAATATATGATACCACGAAGATACGATAGAGTACCGGATTCATAACGTTTAAAATTCTAGCTAAATTGGCTAGTTTTATAATTAGACTGAAAAATTAAAAAACTACACATCAAAGATCTTGATAAGATTGTATATTTACACTATTTTCAATATGAATACAAAACTCTTATACTTTTTTATGTCTATCGTAAGTTTTCTAATATTTGTACTCTGATATTTTACTCTTTAAAATAGTTTCATTTCAAGTTAGACTGCTTACGTCGAATTACCACATATGAATTCGTTGATTATTTCATTATATTAAATCTCTTTCTTCTAGAATCTTACACAGCAAAAGCAAAATTATCTCGGCCAACACTAGTTTATGATGATCTAGTAAAATATCAACAGGGATACGAGACCATTAATAAATTGTTTCTCTGGTACGAACGCATTGCAAGCGTCTATACAAATGTAAACGAATTCCAATTTATGAATTATGGTTATGCAGATATGGATGAATATATCGATGATCATACTGGCTATTATTCAAGAAAGCTTTATGGACAGGTTTGTAGAAAAGAATACAAGACTCGATTTCAGTGTCTCTTTTTTGTCCTACTTCGCATCCACTACTAACAGAGGTTGTCATTGTCTTTAACTTATAAGGAATTAGTATGATTATGAATATAAGATTGTTTTATTAAATGCTATACACTCTAAATATGAAAAGAAAATCATTCAAATCAACTTATTTACATCTAGTCGAGTTGATATATAAAGAAAGATCGAAAATTTTATGAGATTTTGCGATATACAAGGCATGAGTAAAATATTTTGTTTTATTTTCCAGGTTCTTGCAAATGTAACATTAACAGATCAGAATATCGTTGAAATCAACTGTGGTAGAGGTGCTGGTGCTGCATGGTGTGCTCATACTCATGCATTTCACTCTTGTATTGGAATAAATCCTTCTCAAGATGTCATTAACTTATGTCAACGACTTTATTCAACAATTCCTCGACTTTCTTTCGTAGTAGCTGATGCAACAAAACATTTACCATTTGAAAATGAATCAATTGATATTATTCTTTGTATTGAAGCAACACACACTTTCGACGAACCAATAGCAATCACACAATTTGCCAATGAAGTCGTTCGTGTACTTCGTCCAAATGGATATCTTCTATGGTGTGATTTTTGTTACATGAATGGATCAGGTACATCAATTTATGATTTGATATCAAATGACGAATTAATTATTAAAGAAAAGATTAATATTACAATGAATGTTCTTCATGCACTTGATATTCAAAATAAATCTCGTACTGATTTCATTCAACGTTATATTCAACCTGAAGAACAAGAATATTTTCGTCTATCTGCTGGATTACCCGGTAGTCAAATTTATGAAGACATGAGCCAAGGACGTTCACAATATTGGCGAATTGTATTTCAAAAGAAGATAACAACGGATATATCTGCCATCTGAAATCAAATTTTAACTGAACAGTACAAATACTTTTTCTTTTTTCAACTAACTGTAGTTTTTATTTTTATCCTTACTTACTAATACCATATTATTCTACTTCATACTCACATCTCATTTTTATTTCTCAACTAATAAATTATCTTTATAATCATAAATCTCTATTTATTTCATCACACTAATGAATCATCTAGATTATTAAACAATGATTTATCAGTGTTCTTTCAACATATGTTATTTTAAATTATCGCAAATGTTGAAAAATTTGTGAAAATTTTAGAATTGTTATTTCGATGTCGAGCCTCGCATTGCATTTCACAGATGAGTCTCGACTTGTGTTCTATCTAGTTTTTTTTCAGCCATATCTACAGTTTTCTATAGTATGAATAAAAATGGTTTATCTTTACAAAAAAATATCTGTATGATTCGAAACATTGATTAGAAATCAATAACTGAGTTAATTTTAACAAAAAAAGTTAAAACATTTCGAGATAGATTGGCTTTATCCTCATCCTGTTTCATAGAAAATTGATGCTCTGATATGAGTAATAATTCATTCGAATATTCTATCCAGTTTTGCTCTGACATATACTTAATTTCATAAGAACAGTGATACCATTGAAACAAGATGTCATGAATACGAAAAGTATGACAAATGAAATTATAATTTCAATTTTATGTATATAATAGAAAAAAAATAAAGAACGGCACTTTCAAATTATGATATGAGTCCGAAGTAGTCATTTATATTGGAATACGACTGTTTAATCATAAGAATTCTTCTTAAATGAACAACTAATTAGGTTTGTTGTATGCGAGATATTAAATGAAGATTGTTTTTTCTAAATCTTACGTTAATCTTCTACTTTTCCCTAATTCATAGAGGTGAAATATATTTTCTTCGAAGAATGATATTCTGGTAGAAGATGATTTCAACAAAATGAGGTTAATTTATTTGTAAATTGAATAAAGAATTTTTATGTTTTAGTCAATGATTTGAAGAATATATATAAACGAACTATGAGTAATAGTTCTTACTTATTGATGAAATTTAAACGATATCTTCTCGTCTAAGATTGTTAATTAAATAGTATGATTGATAATTACAAGTTGCTGTTATCTTAGGATATCAGAACTTGTATGCTAATATTCAATCGTAATAAATAAAAAAATATAATAATAACATAGTTACCTCTAAAGGAGAAAAAGCGAACTTCTTTACTTTCGAAGTACATAAAAGTACGAAGAAGTACAGAGAAGTCCGTTTTTTTTGCCCTTGATCACATCACATGCACAGAAAAATGATCCAATAAATTGATTTTTCGATTAAAACAAATAGCAACACCAAAGTGATTGTTTTTAATATTAAAATAATTCTTTTCTTTATCCAATATATTATTAATAATATGCATTGTTATTTAAAAAAGAAACCTTTTTATATTATTGATTTTTTAATTATGTCCTATGTTTTGACTCTTTGTAGGTTTATTTTGCGTGTATAAACATCATTAGTATTTGTCGAACGATGTTTATGTAACAAAATAAAGCTTACGATAAATGACACGTAAGAAAGAGTATTTTCTGTTATTTTTATAATATCAAATTCTTCTTTCGTTTTATTGTTCAAAACAAAATTATTTATGTGAATCAATTCAACAATATTTTACTTATTCTGATCTGATATATTAAAGATACAGATATGTTGTTTTCTTTATAATTACTGAAATTTCAGAACTAAAAACTTTCAAAGTATTTCATTAGTATAATAAATTACTGCTGAGGTAAGATTATCTTCATCATTAGGATTCTAATTAATAATTGAAACATATGAAATAGTAAATGCTTGTGAATATTTTTCTAATAGAAATAGTGAATTATTCTTAATCATTTACTATATTCTGTTTTTGAAAACAACGAACAAATCATACAGCTAACGAGAAAAAAATGTTTTCGAATACATTTTAAAAATTATAAATATGCCGTTATTTTTTTCAAATTATTGGGTACTGGTGTCCTTGAAATTAGTTTCTACGTATTACAAAAAACTTCTTTCTTTTCGATCATGTCCATACTATATGTCATATATCATTAGTGAAATAAATTATGGTAAGAACAGATTTTTCTTGTAAGGTAAAAACTTGTAGAACTGATGTCACACCCACTATCATTTAAGAATAAGCGTCATCAAAAAGTATAGTTTGACTTGATATCACTTTTGATTGTATCTCAAGGAAAGAAAAAAGTAGAAGAGAACGAATAAAATGATATGAGTAATACTACTTATTCACATAAATGTAAGGTAACTACCTGTATCTCTAACATCTTTGTCTGTTCTGTTCTGTTTCATGTGTCACGTTTGACTTCCGTTTTGACAGTACATGTTATTATATGACCATAAAAATACAAGTATGTATTCGTAATAACCGTTTCGAATAGAATACATAGTCAAAACGAACAAAAAATCATACGAAACACAAACATGTTCGCATCACAGTATGCACCACGAAGAAGTCCACCAGCTGTAACAGATCAATATCATCACAGAGAAAGTATATGGAGAGTTTTACTTGATATACTTTGTCTTTTAATATGTAAGTTTATTTTTCGATCTCGTTTTAATTGAAAAATTTTGAATTTCTCATTTAGTACTTATTATAACACTTATTACGCACTTTGTTGCAAAACCCTTTACACGTGGATTTTCTTGTTCGGATTCAACAATCCGATATCCATTAAGGGATGATACAATTCCAGTTTATGCTGCTGTTTTACTGTCTATTGGACTTCCACTAGCTATAGTAAGATAATATATCTATGAATACTTAGAATAAAATAGTTTTCATATTTATATGATTATTAGATGTGGTTTACAGAAGTTTTTAAACGATTCCATTATTCAATATATCCAAGACAACGATTTGTAACACGTTTAGATTTTTGCGGTATGCGATCAATAAATATATCACCAATCGTTCGAAATTTATATATGCTTACTGGTAAAAAAACTCATACATATATGCATGCTTCTAATGAATATATATTTGTATTTATTGATTTCAGTTACATTCGCGTATGGTTACCTTGCAACTTGGGTTTTAACTGAAATTACAAAGAATTTTGTTGGTGAATTAAGACCAGATTTTATAGCTATATGTCGACCTAGTTACAATTGTTCAGCGGTTACATCATTATATCAATATGATACATATCTTCAAGATACAGTTGATTATACATGTCAAAATACGGATACATCGGCTGTACGAGAAGCACGGTAATTACATAATTATTATAAGACAGGGTAGACAAACATTTGAATGATTTTTACAAAATTAAAATATGATATAATATTGACTTTCGTTTTTATTGTAAGAAAAAATGCCTTCGTAGTAATCAATTTATTTTTTTATTATACTAAATGTAAACTAAAAATTATTTTTCTTAAAAAATATTGATTATTATTGAATAAAAATGAAAAGCTTTTCTTTGTTAATTTAGTCGGTCGTTCTTCAGTGGACATACTTCACCAGTATTTTGTAAGATTTTTTAGTTTAATCTTCTTCAAACTTTATTTTTATCTATACTAGATGGTTTCGCTTTTTTGATTATGTATATTCATGTGGCATGGTCATGGCGTCATCTGGGTATCATTGGTCATTTATTTCAAGTTGGTCTTGCTATACTTGCTTGTTATATCGGTAATGATAAATAAATTTGCCTTTGTAATCCTATATATATGAATTATTACTTATAATAGGTTACACTCGTATTAGTGATTATCGTCATCATTGGTGGGATGTATTAGTTGGTGCTATTGTTGGTTCTTTAGTTGCCTTTGTTACATTTAAATTTATTCTCAATTGGCGTCATTATGTTCCACGATTTCTACCTCATACGGTAGAACCTCAGACAGTTGCATCACCACAGTCTCCAAGAGGATATGGTAACTATCGTCCTCTAGGACCATATGGTGAACCTGGACCAATTCGTCGCTATTAATCAAATAAACATTTATCTATTTATAATAGCTATGTTCTAATTGCGAACAAAAAAAGAATCACACGTTTTTTTGTCCTCCTACACACCATTATTCTGCTGATTGATTTGATCTTTGTTCACGATCAGAAACCTATACGTTTATCATTCAATTTTTTGCATGTACACTAATAAAAAAAATCATTTTATTTTACAAACTTATAGATTGATATCATAAATAACTTAAAGTATCTTTCTTTTCAATGAATAATACTTCAATATGCCACCATGAGCGTACATGTCAACAACATGCACTCGATGACTCAGCGATAACAGGCCGATGGATGCGAACACGTTCGAGAGAAATAGGAAGGTAGTTCTTTTTTCTTCTCTTCTTTTCTATGCAATAAAATATCATGAGCAAATATATATAAGAGCATATTCATCCATTTGTGTGCATATAGAAGAAAGATGAGTAGCGTTAACAATAAAAAAGATGCATCCTCTGTTTCATATGAAACAATGGATGTAACAGCCGCTGATGTTCGAAGGTACTTTGTTTCGAAAATATAATTAAATCATTAAAAACATATGTAACCATATTTATATGTTTTTATCTATTTCAGTCGTCAATCTATCGTCCAACCAGTTTCAATATTAAAATTAGTTTTCGATGGATTTTCAATTATTCTTGGTTTATTTATTTTTATTTAGTTATTCTTATTTTTTTATTTCTTGTACATAGTACTTTCAACATGGTTAATATTTAAATATATTGTAAGACCTGTTCGACGACCATTTCTATGTTCGGATTTAAATTTATATCATCCAAAACCACCACAAAATGTTATTCCATCATGGCTTCTATTTCTATGTGGAGTTATTGTACCAATAATTGTTGTAAGTGTTAATTAATATCGAATAAAATTTATTTATTTTCGTATGTCTTTAGATACTTTTGTCCGAAGGTGTTCGTTGGTTTTATTTACTTCGTAAAAAAGCAGCACGTGTTGTTTATAAACTTCAAATTCGTTCAACTATTTATAATATTCCAGAATGGGCTGGAAATCTTTATATTATTATTGGTACAATATTTTGAAAAATAAATTCATTAGAATTTTTTTATGTCATAGGAATCTTTGTTTTTGCTTCTGGGGCTAATTCATTTTTAACAAATGTTGGCAAAGTTGCAGTTGGTCGTCATCGTCCACATTTCATACCATCATGTTTTAATCAAACTTCCTATCAACCTTTTTGTGTTGATCCTAATGCATGGATTGTTAATTATACATGTATTGGAGAATCAAGTACAGTTATTGTAGAAAAAGATGGCGCTTTTGATATACGGTAAAATATTTTTTCTTGAAATTTAATTAGGATATATAAATGTATTCAAAAAAAAGTAGAGAAGATCTTTTTCTGTATCAAGAAATGAGTTTTATGATCTTGTTTTTTTCCGAGAGATAAAGCATTTTCTCTAAACTATAAATAGAAACATGTCTGAATGTGAATAAAATATCTTGAAAATATACATTAGTTTGTAGCTAATATTTGATAGTTAATTAAGACATTAATTGAAGACTTCAGTATGTCCAAGTTGTAGTAAGAGTAAAATAACTAACGTTTAACTATTTGACGAGGAGCATTGTATATATTCTGTTCCGAGTATTTCTCTGCCATATAATATATGCGATTGCTAACCGCTGCATCCGTCTCCAAAGGATTAAAACGAAACTTAGAATGTTAATGTCTTCATATTTGTGTTATCAAATTTTTTTGTCTTTGAGATAAAATACTATTCTTTTTCATATCTATGATAGTAATTGAGAAAATTGTATTTGTAGGCAATCATTTCCATCGGGTCATTCATCAACAGCTTTTTGTGGTTTAATCTTTCTAGCTGTAAGTTTTATTTAACTTCTTAACTTATTTTTTCTATTTCATTATTTTTTAGCTTTATATTTATAAAGTTTGGAGATACCGTAATTTTGGACTTCTTCCATATCTCATGGAAATAGGTTGTTTTGCTTTAGCTGCATATATTGGTGAGTTATTATCAGTATAATTATATATAAAACTTGATTTCTTTTAATTTAAGGTATAACACGTATTACTGATCATCGTCATCATCCTACAGATGTTCTTGGTGGAGCTATTTTAGGAACTGTTATTGCTATTATAGCATTTCGTTCTGTGGTTCGATCATTTAAACGATCTGTTTTGTTGGATTTGGAGAATGAAACATAAAGAGGAGGAAGAGATGATTTTTAAGCTCAATAAGAATTCATGGTTTATATTATCTTATTGAAATATTTTTATTCGCGCATGTTATAATGGAATGATATCGAATATTTTAGTAATATTTATTCATTGGTGTATAGAAAAATATGTAAATTTTTATGATCAAATTTAGATGGTGATTGTAGTAATGAACAAAAGGTTTTATTGGATAAATAAATATACTCGTTTTTTTTTTATGATTAAACAATACAATTTCTAAGATCTAATATAAATGATTTATCATATCATGATAACATTAAAAGGTCTTAATCATTAATCAAACTCTCTTTCATGTAGACGTTTTAGAATTTGAATAGGATTCGAACTTGAACTAGAAAATTTTCTTTTGATTTGACCTTGATTACAAGGAAAAGTCAATTATATCCTATTCATTATAATAAGATCGTCGTTAAGATTATCTGAAGAATATCAATCATTAATACACATTAATGAGAAGAAAAAGGAAATTTATATACTAACGGAGTGATTATCAGATTGAACTACAGACAAACTATCAAGTTTGAATTGCATTCAGTCACTAACACATTTTATATATATATATAACAATGTTATTACAATTATCAAGTATGTTTGTTTGTCTATTACGAATATATATATATTTTGAAAACTTATTCGGATTTATATCGTTACTATAACCTTGAGGCCATTCAAATCATTTACCGTGTCTTTAGAAGTATTAATTCAGATAATTTCTTGAGTAAAGAAACCCAAGGATCAATTTGCATGACAAGTAAGTTATAAAAAAAAGATTTAATGTTCTCGTTCTACGATTATTGCAGTTTTCGAAGACCTACAAATGCTCAGCGTTAAAGAAACATACTTATTAGTCTATCATTACTGATATTGCATTAATAAATTTGATAAGATTTTAGTATTCTTCTTTCCAATAAATTTCCGATTCAGCTTGATCAGTAGTGCAGTTAATATGCATGTGTTAATTGATTATAACTTTTGTGTCATATTCTATAAATATCTACGTCACAACATTAGTTCAGGAAATTGAAGATAGTTATTAACTACGTTTCTTAGTTACATAATATGCAATTTTCAAATAAGAATTTTTCTTTTCTGTTTTAAATTACGCAGATTTTTTTTCTTGTTTAATAAACATCAAAACATTAACATGAAGAATTGTTAATGAAATATATGGCTGCTAGGATTGACTTTTCTTTTCTTTTTGATCATTTAATACTTTTTAAACATTTGTGTCTGTCGAGTTCTACTGAAGCATTAAACTACATTGTATATATGTCTATCTCGGTAAGCATCATCAGATTACTACAGACAACATGTTAAAGAACAGCTGAAATGTTCTCATCAATCAACTATTATCTAAACATTGTTTAGCATCAGTATTCTTTTCTCAGACAAATGTCAACAAAGACTAAATCATTAGTATAAATATAAATAATAATCATCAAATTATTAAATCATTAATACATAATCAAAATTACAAAAATACTTTTATTCTTACTATTCACAATTATTGTCAATAGGCACTTTTTTTTTATTTCTAATATAATTATTGTACAAGTACTCTGTTTATTTTCTATTTCAATAGAGACGATAATCATTTTGTTCAACTTCATTTCCTTTTATACGTTAGAAATTCTTTAGATGACTTGTTTTTTGGACAATCAAATCGTCTTGAACAACAGACATATGATAAATTACTTGAAATTGCTTTCATTTATGTATTGGCACTCTCTATCGCTCTTATACTAAACAATCATAGCAATTTTATTCTTATATGTTCGTGCATATAGAACAATTTGATTGCACTTGATTGCTTCATAGAAAGGCAATGCATAAATGAATAAAGTAGACAGTTAGAACAATTATATTAGTTCATGTTGCTTTTACAAATAGTATTACGCGCATATTCTCAATCTAAATGATAATAATAATCTTAACAGTTATTGAAATTTTCTTTTTTTTTTGTACTTAGATTGTCCTCTCATTTATACAAGAGATATTTAATTAATACTCTTTTCTTTTTCTTTTGAATAATGAAGTAACTTGAATATATCTGTTAATAATATATATTGTAGTGAATAAATCTTACATGAAACACTTTACCATTTTTGTTCAAGTGTGCGAATAGAAAACAGATGATTTAATCTTTCTCGTTCTCTCTCTCTCTCTCTCTAGTATTACAACAATGAAGACAAACACATTCATTGATCTAAATTGTATATGTAAGTGATAGTTTACTAGATCAAAGAAAAGTATTTTACGATAACGATATAAAGCAAAGAAGAAGAAAAAAAAATTCAACTGCAATACAATTAAAGATTTCTTGACATAATTAAATTAGTAAGTAGAATAAATATATCTTACTGCTTTCATTTTCTTTTATCTAATTTATTTTTTATTTAATTTCCTATATAGGCACTCATCATTTCTATCTGTCTTATTCAGTTTTTTTTATCTGTCATTATTTATTGCGTAAGTGAATGTTTGTCTTTAGTCGCATCACGATTTGTAAGAATAAAAGAATAGAATAGTAGGCTGACTTTCGGGATTCTTAAATAATGACCTTCACTATCATTGGGTAATACGGATACATGCTGTGAAGTTTCTGTCATAGTCTCTTACGTTTTTTATTCTTTGTCTTTGTTTCACAATTGCTTGACAAAACGCGATAGAAGTTTCCTTCTTTTTTTTTTCTCAGTTCTGTATTTGGCATGATCAACAGAAATATACAACCCAGTCGCTCATGC